CTCATGCTGAAATTTCAAAATTGAACTTTATCAGTGAGTACGATCCCTTTAGTCATTTTGTTAGTAATAGAAAGTTATAATAGGAAGAAATGAAATAAGGTGGAAAAAAAGGAAAAAGAAGGTAAGGAATGAAAATTAGAAAATCTGTGGGATTATTGTAATGGTCAAAAATGTTTCAGTCCATTAAGTCGTATATATTTCTCATCATTACCACACTTGAACCTCATAAATTAAACAATATCATGGGGACGGCCATCATCAGCTTGCTTCTAAGCAGATCTTAAAACAGGAAACCACAGATATCCTGTCCAGCACTGCTGACACGTCCCTATTGGTACTGCTCGGCTACTTCTGAGTGACTTTTCTTCTAGCAAAGAGTAGATTACGAAGGGCTGTCTCATTTAAGCCTGAAGGGTTGCACTAGATCTATAAGCTTTTCCATAATATGTTAATATTTTATCTCGATTTTTTTTAATTCTTATAATCAGCACCGTTTAACAGGCATTTTTACCCGTCTTTTTAACGCCTTCAGACTCTGATCGGTTTTTTTTCGCCATTTTTATTGCAGCTGGTGATATCTCCACTGTAGTCAAAGTTTTTATAGAGCTTTTAAATGGATTTATATACTGAGATTGCTTTTGTAGGTGGTGGAGTGCAAGCAGGCACACAGATGCACATGATGAGTGGTGTAGCAACAACAATACCACCACAGACTCATCCGATGTCACAAGTTCAACAGCAGCAGCAACCGGCACCACATCAACAACAGCAGCAGCAGCAGCCAGGCATGCGCATGAATATGGTTTGTTTCATTTGAATAACTTTTTTTTCTCAAAATTTACACAAATCTTACAAAATTTCTTAAAAATTACTGAGGAACTGAGTGCTGTGGTCACTGTTGCCCACTGGCTGTCAGGCTTGGATCATTGGTTCGAATCTCCCTGTTACAAAACCAGTTCTTTTAAGATTTATTTAGTACAGCCTTGCCTATGTTTGTTATGAACTAGATTCTGCATTTAGCAAGTTCCTCAACAAATAGTAATTAAAATAGAAAGGCCATAAAAGACCGAACCAAAATTGAACGGTCCAATTAGAGCCGCTGAAGAGGGTGAAATTGTCAAGTGATTTTTTGCGACCGTTGGTAGGCCGAACCAAACCTTCTGAAATAACTCTAGGTAAGTGCTGGTATCACAGTTGGGCTGGTGGTTGCTATTGACCGAAGCGCGAGTTTTGTCGTTTTGTCCGTTGTGAAGAGTGAGAGTTGTGTCGAATTCTGATGATGCTCGAACTTTATTTTCCGTTTTGGTGCTTTTTAGCCATCACAAATGGGTGCCATGCAAAGGCCGGGAGCACCAACAGGAATGGTAGCGGCACATATGCAGCAGCCAATGAATCCCCCGCCATATGGACGTGGTGGAGCACAAGGAGCCTACGGGATGTCTGGAACAGCAGCACCCTCATCTACATATGGCGGCGCTGCCACTGGACAACCGATAATGATTGGACAGACAATGCAGCAAAACACACAACCGCAACCTGTGATGCAGCAAGGAGTACAAAATTTGCGTTGTAAGTTTTAAACTTGGCCACTTTTACTGAGGTGAAGCAACGAGGTATAAATGTGAGAGGATAGGGGAGGGGGAGGTGAAGAGAGCTGCGTAAATGGATTTTATGAATGTCTTCGATCTGACGTTACGAACGTCAGAATCAAAATTGGAAACCCCCCTCCCTTCTCCCCTGTTTCGGAGAGGCACGGTTAACTTGCAAGAATTTGAAAGTTACGTCTATGTTGGCCAGGAAGTATGCATTCATATCCACCAGTGGCACGAAATTCAACAAAAAAGGCACAAATTTTAGTTGTAAAAACTGTTCGGAAGCGCTAAATCACAAGTAGAAATGCCAGAAATTGTCACGTGTAAGCGAGGGAAACGAAAATTGGAAAATAGGAGGTGGATGGTGGGAATAAGCACTATTTTGAACAAAAGTAGCTCAACATAAAGCCTTGTTTCCTGCAGACCTGGCGACTGTTTCACTCTGATATTAAGTGAATTCAGGAAATTCGTTTAAACAGCGCGAATTTTCACTTAATATTGAATTGCAGCAAAAGTGTACTCTGGGCAGCCGATCGATCGTGCAGCATTGCAGCAGGATCCGCAAGTGCAGGCGATTTTAGCAAGGCTAAGGAACGCCGAGCGGGCGGAGGAAAAAGAGCAGATCTATAGCGATCTGAAGAAAATGCCACATCTTTTTGCAGCTTTCATTAAAATGAAAAACAGTGAAAGAGCTGCAGATGTAAGTTTCAGATTTCTTTCGCTGCATTAACCTCTTCGAATTTCTTTTCCTTCAATTAAACAGATAGTCAACTAGTGATCCCTAGATAGTGCCACCTGGGCTGCCAGTTTGATGAGTTTAGTATCACAAAAGGCATTATTTCTAGCAATCACTGGAATCAGTGGCGAAGAAAAGTAGAACCGAAGATTATATAATGCACGTAAGTATCAATTTATTCACGTTATGGTTTTCATAATATTTGCCGATTTGCCTTGCCAGTCGATTGATTTTTCTTCCTTTTTATTCCTTTCCCTTCTCTTCTCGTTCTCTGCTTTTGGCACTTCAGTATATCATTATTTATTATATTTGCTTATTTAAGTCGGCTTCTTTTCTGTGTGGCGAGTAAGAGGCTGGTGATTCCTGCTCCTACTCGCATCCGATGCACTGTTTGTGTTTATAGCTAAGGGATGAAACACAGACTGCAAACTTAACTGATCCTTTCAAACATGTAAATTTCAGTCTACTTTACAATAAGTTTTTATAGACGAAAATGTGAAGGATGTCGTTTGTAACAGAAATAGGCTCATGGGTGTAGCTTGTCTCGCATATTTTTTTTAGATTTTAAGATGGCAATAGTTAAAACAGACAAAGGAAACTAAGAAAATGAGGAAGATAGTATGAATTTTAGTATTAATCAGAAGTGAGTTTGGTAGGTAACACTTGTCAAGATTGAAATGAAGTGGAGTGAAACTTCTTGCAGGGATTGAGTTCTGCAGGTTAACTAAAATTTAATTGGTTTTTATGCGTTTTTTGCTGTGTAACAGCAGTGCAAAACGCATATTGTCGCGGGGTTGCCTGTGTGTGTGTGTGTGTGTGTCCGCAGCAACTTGTCCGCAACTTCCAACCCGGGAACCACAAAGGCTAGGAAGCTAAAAATTTAGGGGAATGTTTCTTACCCATGTTTGACCTCCCGAATTTAAATTCAGCCTCCCCATACACGCGGATAACACGTACGGCCCCTTAGAAGTTTTGGCGAGTTAAATTATTATCACAGGAACTGCGGAAACCAGAAGGCTGAAATTTTATGGGCATGTCCCCTGCCCACGTAGACGAAGAAAATTTAAATTCAGCCTTTCCCTATCTGCGGATAATACGCACGGCACTGTGGGAATTTTGCCGGATGAATCATTTCCCGGGAGCCAAGGGACCTAGGAAGCTGAAATTTTAGGGCAATGACTCACTGCCTACGCACAACCTTGCAAATTCAAATTCAGCGTTCCCGCGCTCTTGGGTATCACCTACAGCCCCATGGGGATTTATGCGGATAAATTATTGTCTCAGGGATCACGGAATCTAGGAAGTTGAAATTTTAATGTGGAATCCCCAGCCCACATGCAACTCCGCAAATTTTCGACATCCCGTGGAAGTTTTGGCAAGAAAAATCAGGGGCTTCACAAGCTGGAATTAAGCAGAGGTCTCAGTTACGGCCAGGTGAAAGTTTTGCCTCAACGACCATTCGAAAGCCAG